AGGTTCTAGTGTTAGTGGTCATTCCTTGCAGGAAGATTGCTACTTGTTGCCATGCCTCAATTCCATGCTTGTTGCCATCTCCTTGCATCATCCGTCAGTGAATGAGTGAATAGTCTCAACAGAATTGCATCTCTTGTGACACCATTTATCTTCACAGTATCACTCAACAATAGGAAGTTCTCTATGTGCAAGTAAGGGTCCTCTGCACTGGTTCCAGCAAACTGATCCTTCTGCACCAAATGTATCTAAGCAGGCTTCAATTCAAAGTTGTTGGGCTCCACTGTTGGGCGCACAACACTCCCAATTGGAGGAATCACTGCAGGAGTCATGTACTCTCCCAGTGTCCTCTGTGGTGGTGGTGGTCTGTGATTCTCTGCCATTATCTCTTCCTGATTAACCGTACTTGATTCACCAATTTCTTGCAACTGTCTCCTTTGCCTTGCTGCCCTTTTGTGCTTCCTCAATGTCCTTTCTAATTCTGGATCATACAACAACAAATTCGGATCAAGTGTACCTCGCATATACCAGAATCAAAATTGACCAGAAACTTAACATAAACTAAAATACTAAAAATAAAAGGATTCAATCTCAGAATTCTATAGTATCAGTTAGTGTTTAAGGGTGTGTGTGTTTTGAACCATGGAATCATGGATTTGATGAGTAAAGGTGCCACCTTTGGACCTTTGTGTGTTGTTCATGTGAAAAGATGAACATGAACCCTATATGGACCCTTGATGATTTCAGCCATGTCATGTAATAATAAGGTTTGTGTTGGACGTTTAGCAAGTGCACTAGTCGTACAAGTAATAAAATGATGAGTACAGATCGTTCCCACGAGGAATTGTGTTCAAACACCAATATACCATAGAAAACTAATTTGAATCAAATAAGAGTTTGTAAAAATCATGAATAATTTGTCACCAGAAAATTGATTGTAAGTAATTTGACACAAAGTAAATATGGATTAGGAATTAATAAAACAACAAGTAGTCAGAAAACAACTTTCCTCCATGATAAACCATGTAAAAATTGATCATATGATGAATTCCTTTCCATGTGATGTTAATCAACCTTTTACTTATCATCAAGATGTAATCCCTTACTACCCTGATAGATACATTAATCAGAAACCCCAATCCCTTGGTGATCTCTTTCTTAATACATGCATGAAATACTAAAGTTTTAAGATTACATCAGAATTCTAGCATCAATCCCTTGAGTACTAGAATTCTGATGTTGAGATTATCAAATACAGAAGTCATATAAACATCCCTGTTCTATACTACTTCCTTGATAGAAATAATTAACTCAGAAAATCTCAAATCAACACATGAAAAATACTTCATCATATTAATCAAATCAACATAATATTATCATGGAGTTTCATTGCATTCAGACTACAAAGACTCTACTCAGACATGACTATAGAATAGATAAGAGAAGAAGAAACAAACTTCATTTCCATGTTGAAAGTCTTCAATCTCCAAACTATTACAAGGAAATCCTAATACAAAAACTAAACTAAAAGAATTTAAAGAGAAGTCAGACTAAGTTTAAGAGAGAGAGAAAGTTCAGATCCCTCAGATCCTGATTTCTTCTAAGTGTCAAGGCTTTGCCTTATATAGTGTTACAATTAAAAACAGAAAACTGATGTGGGCGCTAAAACGTCCATAAGTGACCATTTTAGCGTCCATGCTTTACGTATGCTCAACGGCTTTAAACTGATTCCAACGCTAAAACGTTAAGGAATGACCGTTTTAGCGTCCAAACTTGGTGAATGCTCAACTAACTTTAACTGACTCCAACGCTAAAACTCTTGATTTGGACGTTTTAGCGATGAAGACCAGAATCTTTTTCCACTTTAGGGCGCTAAAACGCTTATTGCAGGCCGTTTTAGCGCCCAAGACAAGCAATTTTCCATCTTCTTAGTGCAGCAGCGCGCTAAAACGCTCTATGTGGGCGTTTTAGCGCTCACCACCAGCAAGTTTTGGCCTCTTCCTGTAGCAGGGCGCTAAACCGCTCAGTGTGAACGTTTTAGCGCTCAACACTTGTAATTGAGGACATCTTAGGACATTAACCTTGTTTTTCCAGAATCTTTTGGCCTCCTCCTCTTGAGCTCCAGAATCTTTTTCCTTATCCAGTTGTCTTTCAAGCTTGCTTTTCCTACAAGAATCATACAAATTTCCAATAAAGCTCTTGAACTTGTAATTGAGGACATCTTAGGACATTAACCTTGTTTTTCATCATTTAATCACACAATTTGATCCTAATTCCTGCTAAAAACCATGATGAACTAAGGGTTCATCAGTTTGATGATAAAAAAATGTGATTAAGTTGTTATGTGTGGAAAAATGATTAGAAAGATTAACTAGGTGGGTTAACTCTAAGTAAAACTCACTAATCATGTTTAATAATGGCTAAAAACCCTAATTAAAATAGCTCATCAAATCTGCCTCATAAAGTATATAAGGGTTTAGTTGTGTTAAAATTAAGGAGAGGATGAATTAGGGAATTAATTAAGGGTAGAGATTAATGAACAAAAGTAATTAAGGATTTAACTCTAAAATTGGACTAAAGTAGGGTTTAGGTACACTAATTAAATAATTAGTAAAATTTAAGTATCATGAGATAATGACACTAAGGATATTTCATAATGTGACTTAATAATAGAAAAATCCAGGAATTAATGTGAATTAGGATTTATAATCAAAAGTGATTAAGGTTTGTTAAGTAAACACATTTAAGGCTAAGTAACCAGTTTTTAGGAGAAATTGGGGAGAGCATATCTCCCTCCACGAAGGTCATATAGGGTTGTGCCTTATATAAAATTGAAGGTTGAGATGTTGGCTATGTAATGTCAAAATTTCGTATCAATTGAAGATGTATTCCATTCTGTATGTTCGTTTGAGTGAGGACTGCACATGGAGGCCATGTGCAGGGGCTGTACATGGCTGTAACTTCCACGAATTGTTTCTCCCTCTGTGATTACTCAAATTAGGCTCATAATAAGTCTAATTAAAGATAAAGTTGTCTAGTTGTCTACATAAATATTTGAGATCAATTGGTTTAGTATATTTTCCCGAATAGAAGAAATGGTAAAGGATGTTTAGGTCCCTGTTCAGAGTTGGCAAACAGCTTTGCTTGTCCAACTTCAAATGGTGATAACTGGAGATACAAAACTCCAAATGAGGCATGTGATACCTTGTTGGAAAGGTAATTGAGTCTAGATTAACATACTAAAATATGCGAATTTTATAACAAGTGAGTCGCGCTCAGTAACTAGAAAACAGAAGCATTTACAGTTATGGGAAAATCGTAAAAGTGATATTTAAGCTAAGTGGGCTTATGGGAACCCTTAGTAACTTATAATAATCATAAATATGGATTGGATGAGTTGAAAATAATGTAAGTTACCTAAGTGAGCCTTGCATGTGATTCTAAGCTATGTAAGTAATTGAAGATTAAAGTGGCTTGTAATAATGCACTAAAATATGTTATATGTAATAATTGGTCTAGACTTGTAATGGGAATATTATTGGCATATGAGTATGAAAAGTAGAATCATTAAATGATTAAGTCGTGGATATGACTTGATTAATTAATATGTAATTAATCATGTGAATGGTTCCTACTCTAGGTGTGCCTAGAGAACCGTGCACTTGAGGATTTTGTTGGAGCATACGTATTACATTGGAGTGTGGGCTTGTGCTAAGCTCCCCAAGGTAAGCTCCTAGTTCTATTGTATGAAAGTATGAAAGTAAATGGTATAATGTATATGTGCATTCATTCACATTCATATAGATGTTATATGTTCTTGATGTTATGATGATGCACTGATGATATATGTTATGAGGAACCTGGCCAGTGATCATGGTATATAGGCTGCCTATGACTTGACTCTGGGAGCTATTTCATACTGAGGTTGTGTTGACTGTCTATGGCTTGACCCTGGAAGTCACACATGTGTAACCGTCTAAGGCTTTGACCTTGGGGTTACACAAGGATGATATGATGATGCTATGTTTATGTTGTATGTCTGTATTATATGTTTTATAACTGACCTGTCATGCAGGAAGTGGGCTCAGGGGTTAGAGGATCCTCCATGAACCTTGAGCTTATTGAGATGTTGTTATCTCACCCCGTTTGGGGACATCATTTCAGGTACCCAGAGTAGTGGTGATGCTTCTAATGGAAAGGCCCCCGCATTGGAGTAGTTGATGATGTAGCTGATGATTTTATATTATGTTTAGATTTGATGTTGGCATGTAGACTTGTTAACATGCGCAATTATTTTATGGAGATTATTGTATGTATTTATTTAGGCTCATGATTGTATTCTTAGAGCCATGGATTATTTATTGATGCTTTTATACGTTGAATTAATATACACTTGATGCATGTATTCAGTTAATTTGGGCATGGAGCCTTATTATTTGTATTGACCTATTGAGGGGATTGCAATCCCTGTGGGATTTGCAAGCTATCTGTTTAAATTATTGTATCCATTAGGTGATCTGTATGTGTGGGACCATGTTCCCAGTTATCCGAAATACAACCGTTATGCTGTCTGTGAGACTCCGTTAAGAATGACACTTGATGTCATATCTTGATGGTCAATGGCCACTAATACTGGCTCATAGGAGTAATTAGTAGATGTATGTTTAGATTTATGCTTTCGCAGTATCTCACGTGAACGTTTTTAGAAATGTTTTTATAAAATGTTTTGGAAAAAGTTTACTCGTATATTTGTAAAACGTGTTAGTATTCTTTTAAAATAAAGCCTTCCGCTGTGAATGTTAAATATCATGTTTGTTAACAACCGGAGTACTACGGGGTGTTATATTTATGGTATCAGAGCAGTTTCACCAGGACGTTCACTGATTTATTGCTTAAGTGTTAGAATTACCTGTTGAGTATCTCTTGAGCATCATGATATTGCATATTTCATCACTTGATTGAGCGTAGCTAACTCATACCTTGTGCAGTTGTGCGTAGATATCATGGTTCCTCGAGTGAGACCTAGACGGGTAGTTCAAAAGCCACCACTGAACCCCGTTGCTGCTGCTATAGCGGCACTACAGTAAACCTTGAACGAGATAAGGGAAGCTGACCTGAAGAGGATAGAAGAGGCCAGAGAGCGCGATAGAGAGCAGTTGAGAAAGGCCAGTGAAGACCTTATGGCACAGAATAGGCTGGCCAATGCTGAGATGATCCGACTACTGTTGACAGAGTACGAGGAGGACCTCCACCACCTTCACCCCCACCTCCACCGCCAGTTACACCACATGTGCAGCAGCAGGTTGCACATGCTGTTGGTCCCGTACAGATTCTTGAGCCTGTTGTGATGGGACAAGAAGGGTCAGGAGAGGCCCATCAGGAGGCGGAGGCATCTGTCCATGAGGGACGAGTGAGGCAGCCAGTTATTGAGGTTGATAGATCAGCTATACCACCCATGTTTGACCGGGATACTAGAGAGTGTATGTTGAATGCTTTCAAGAAGCATTCCCCACCTCACTACAAAGGTGGAAGAGATCCCATCCCAGCATTGGAGTGGCTCCAAGAGATGGAGCGCATTTTTCAGGTTATGGAATGTGATGCCAACACGAAGCTCCTATATGCAGTGTACATGTTACAGGGGGACGCTGCTGACTGGTGTAGTAATGTTAGAAACCCACTTGAGTGCCAAGGTTATGCTATTACTTGGCCGTTATTTGAGAGGCATTTTCTGAAGAAGTACTCCCCTGAAGAAGCCAGGGAAAGGAAGAAGAGTGAGTTTGAAGACCTCCGGCAGGAAGGCATGACTGTGGATAAATATCTGAGCAAGTTCAACCGCTTGGCAAAATATTCGTGTTATGGTAGAGCTCCCCTCACGCCAGAAGACAAGGCCTTTCGATTCAGGAAGGGTCTGAATGATATGATAGCAGACAAACTTGCTGGTCATTGCACCAGAGATTTTGTGGAGTTGATCAAGCAGTGCCAGAATATTCAAGAGCACTATTGTACCAGGGGAAATGAAGCAGCGGGAAAGAGCTTCAGTGGGAGGACTACGCCCTGGAAGGGTAAGGGAAAAGGTTTGCAAGCACAGCAGAACTCCAAGTTTAAGAAGACTCCCTTTGTGAAGAATGGAAGCAGAATGTCTGGTGCAGGGAAGATTCCCACTTGTGCCAAGTGTAGGAAGATGCATACAGGTGTTTGTCGACTGGGGCAGAATATTTGCTTCAGCTGTGGTCAGGCAGGACATTATTCCAGAGAGTCCCCCAAGAAGACGGGGCAAGTTGCAACCATTCAGGCGATCCCTATTCAGTCCGTGCCTGCTCAGAGAGCCATAGAGGAGCCTATGGCGCCTACTAGTGCCAGGGTATATGCAGTGACACAGCAGGAGGCAGAGAGGTCTCCAAACCTTATCAAAGGTACTATTCTTATCAGAGGATATGAATTTGACACCATGTTTGATTCTGGAGCTACCCACTCCTTCATATCAGAATTTGTTGCTAATGGATTACATTTGCCCATTCATGAGGTCACGCCTCCCATGGTAGTGAAGACTACCATCGGAGACATTGTTTCTAC